CAAATACACCTAGACAGGTCACACAATTTCAGGAAATGAAAAACACAGGTCAGGCGTGGGAAGCACAGCACCAGCGACGCGTGTTCACAGCCAGACATTGCATCTGGTGAGAGCAGAGAGGGGGAGAACTGCCCCGCGTCTTTGTTTCAAGATCATCCCCCCTATGGTCAACAAGCGATGGTCCAGAGCTTGTGAGCCTCTCGGGGCTGAGGAAAGGCCACCCTACAGCTCAGCCAGCCGTTGATCATCCAGAGGCAGGACTGCAAGAGGCTATTCTGCTGCTGTGACCACCCTGGATGGGATTCAGGGAGTCTGAGCTCTCTCTGCTTCCAGCACTGTATTGATTTTAATAGTGACAACCTAGAGGGGAGCAGAACAGACTGTGCTTCGTAGATGGAATTGAATTGTTTTAAAGTTTTTAAGTAAGTTGGCTGTCTTCCTGGACTCTTAAATTAAAGGGCAATTAAGTCACTTTCAGTCTGGAAAGAGCTGACGGGTGTTTCCTGGTTTGACTCTTTAAAATTTTGCCAGAGTGATTAATGCAATGAAAAATTGTCAACTCTCAAGTCAGGGCTGTCAGCCAACACTCAAAGCATTTATCTAAAGCACATGCTCAAACTCTTTTGGCCTGTAGACAGAAGGAAATGGGACAAAATGAGGGTGTAGGAAAGAGTAGCTGGGCATAAAGGACACTGGCACAGCAACACCTGTATCTTATTACTGCTAATTATTATGGGAGGAGGAGAAAAACTGCTGGTGCTACAGGCTTCATGGAAAAGTTGACTTTTCCCCCCATGGGGGAGAAAAACCTGGCTAAACATCAGCCCCAGCTCGTGGCTACTTGTCAGTGTTGGTTTTGTTAGTTATATGCAATTAGTATTTGTGCAGCAGGTGCACTGCTCCCTGCACGAAGGGAGCGCACGTGAACACTCCCCTGGTAGGGCTGCAGTGCTGCTGCTGCTGCACTGGGAGTACAACCCTCCCTTGGTGCAGGTTCCGCAATATCCTGGTAATGTTGCTGAGAATATGCAAGAGCTCCAGGCTTTCCCAGTTACTAGAAATGCCCGCCATCTCCCTCCCTTTGATTTCCGTGCTCCTTCCTAACATTTAAAAGCTCAAATCTATTTTGTTTCTTCCGGGATTGCTAACCAAAGCTGACTCCTGAATGAATTCTGTCTCTGCTTTGGTTAGTCATCCCTTCAGGACAGATTTAGTAACTGCTCAGGGAAACCACGTAGAAGCCAACAGTTCACTGTTGGAAGGCAGCACCCACTCACTGTCAACTTCATCTTTTTCCAAGCTAGAAGGCTGGAAGTGCAGCAAGTCAGCCAGAATTAGGCAAGCGAGCCTCTAGCCTCACCTGTTGTGTAGGAAGGTGGATAAATTGATACATACCTAGTCCCAAACCTGACTGCAGGCTCAGGAACGTTGCTGCAGTGTGAAATAACAGAGCAGAGATAGCAAGTATCTACAGCACAGTTCACCCTCCCCATCTGCCAGAGCACCCCTTGGGGCAAATGAACCTCCTGCACGATTGCAGCTCCAGGAAAGGCTGCCAGCGCTCCTCGGCGTGTGGGGAAACAGCCTGAAATTCCACTGTGCGTTCTTCTGAACTGCCACAGAGCTGGCAGACTTGCCCCTGAACTGGAGCAAATCTCTCCTTGGAGTGCAGAATTAATAATGTTTTAAGGCTAAAGAATTGCATGTTCAAAAATGTATTTCTGACATGTTTACCGCTTGTGTTTATTAAAGCTTGTATGCTCCTCCAGAATTTTGCGTAACATTGGTTGACTAGAGGCACATGTTAAAACTTGTCCTGATAAGCAATAATGCACACCAGAGTATTTTAATGCATAAATATGAGTTATGACACCGATGCTTTCAAGTAAGGACAGTTTATTTGCCCCTTTGAACAAATAAGGCAAGATATTTCAGAAAGATCAAACAAAATCTCCTGTATCAAACTCAGAGGAATGCAATAAAAGTTACTATTCCATACATATACAAACTAATGACCCAACACTATTATATACAAACAGCCAGATCTTACAAAATAGCATTTCAAGTCAGCACTTTATGCCAGTGTTGCTAGTTTCTTTGTTACAAAAAAGTTAAAGCTACGAACTTCACATTTTTAAGTCTCACATGACTGACATCATCAGTGTCTCTGGATTTTAGAAGCAAAGATAATGGTTTGTCCAGAACACTTTCAGCAATGCAGATGGACCCAAGGAGCACACGAATGCAGCCTCACAATTAAGCAGTTTTGCTTAAAAACTTTGTCAGAACAGCTTTCCCTCATGGTACAAGCCTTGGTCTTAGCCTGGAGGACTCTGAGAAGTGAGCAGGTACTATGCTCCCAGACACTCTATAAAGGGACCAAAAAAGGAATTATTTTCTCTAACAGATTGAAAATCAGTGAAGGAGAAAATAATTCCTCTGCGTTAGAGCTCCAAGTGCAAGAAACATCATCAAGTCTCTGGCACTGCAAGCATTTAAGAAAGGTTCAAAGACAGTTAAGCCATTGGAGCAGTTTTACTTATTTTGGTTCACTTGCTATGTTTTAAGACAATCACATCAGCAAAGCAGAGTATTTCAAGAGTGCTTACATTCAGTTACAGCAGTCACAGGTTGCATATTCCATAGACACCACCCCGTGGTGTTTTACCTAAAACTTGGGTTTTCTAATGCCCTCCCATCACTAGAAAGTTACCTACACAGTGCAGAGGTAAAACTACTCCCAGCAGAATCTGCTTGATCCACGATCCACGCCACATGCAAGCAGTGCACCGTTTACCATCTCACATATCCATACGTCTATCACACCAGAGGTGTTGGACCAGATCCATCCAAGTGACTAATACAAGATCCAACACTTGACCAGAAAACTCCCTCGTAAGTTGTGGGAGTATCTTCGATGCAAAGGACGCTCATGAATATTGGTCATAATAAACACATGTTTAGGGCAAAACGTATTGCACAGATTTCAGACGAGCACTGTATGAGCCCTGATGTTCACACAGTACTTCACTAGACCTCATTAGAGAGTCCGGACTAAGGGATTTTAGTCCGTTAACAACAACAAAGTTTTTAATTATTCCGTTTTCCTAATTCAAAACTTTCCCAATACTTTAGGCTATCAAATAGCTGGTTATCCCAGGAGGTACTCTTACTTCAGCACCCTGGATACATTGCTTACTGCCTCCCTTTTCCCTTAGGGACAGCTGGTTTGCTGATCTCTGGAACAGCTGTGTTTGCACTGCGTATCAAACTGAGACAAACCGATGCAACCAGATCTGCAAAGGGGGTAAAAATGGCTTGGTTCCTTTCACAGCAATGGCATATACCTGTTAACAGTAGCCAAGAGTCTGCTCCAAGGGGAAAAAGAAAGAGCCTACGGAGGCGTGAAATGAACACTTCACCTCTCTAGCAGCATTTGATTCAGGAGACACTGCTATTTAGTTTAATTATCTGGGTGATGTACCAAGGCTTATTTCAGAAGAATGACATGGAAACTGTTCCCTCTATCAGAGCAAAATAAAACTAAATCGGTAGAAATACTTGCTCTGTCCAAATACTTCATCATATGCTAGATACATCTAAAACTACGTAACTCTGCCGTTACAGCCCACGGGGCAGAGGCATCACTTGGTCTCTGCCCTGCAACTAGGCTGAACTCTTCGTTTCTTCTGTTTTGCTCTCCACTCTACTGGCGTGAGTTAATTGCACCATCGTCACAGCGATTGTACACGCTGGGGCATTTTCGTTGATTGAGCTATACTGGGCAGGAATGGCAGGGAAATTTAAAGAAAGAACACAAGAGCATCCAAAGGAACTGGAAGAGAAGAGGCTGAATCTCTTCCAGTAGGACATCAGTAATTGTCTTCTTATACAGATCAACTCCGCGTTTGCTCCACCACCATAAATACACCTTTGTTAATTCAACAAAGTCTTTACTTTCAGTTCAAATTTTCTGATGTGCTAAACCTTGCAGAAATGTGAAGGATTGTGAAATTAAGTTTTTATTCAAGCATCTAAAAATGTAAATTTGAAATGAAGCCTATAAAATATTTCACAAACTGTGGAGATTTTTAAGTCCTCTCAGACACAGCAGAAGTACCTAATTCCTGAGAGAGGTTCACACAACTTCCACCCATTCGAATACTGTTTCCTTTTCCTGTACTCCACCGTCAGCAGGGTCTCCCTGAAGGACATTTCCAAAGAGACAGACAAAGGGGAATCAGATCACTGATTGGCTTTTGGTTTTAAGTTGGTGTGGATTTTAAATTACAGAATGTAATTTCTGATAGAGGCACAACATGCTTTATCTACTTGTATTAATTCATAAAGTACACAAAAAAAGGAGAAAACTGAGGTCTTGAAGAAACCACACTTGCTTAAAGCACACAGTGTAAGGCATGGGGCTTATTACAGGCTTTTAAAAAAGTGATGATTTAAGTTTCTTTCAAAACGCTCGAACAGTTTGTACATGTTCTCACCTGCTCTCTTCAGTGACCTAAAACTTATCAGTACCTTAACAGTAGAAAGACACAGTTAAGAGCTTGAAATTGAGTCTGTGCATTCACAAAGAAAAACAAAAACGAAAAACCAAAAAAGATGCAGCCATTAAATACCACAATCCATATTAACTTAAAACAAAATTGACTACTGAAAGTTCAGTTGAAAAGAGTGAGCCAACTTTCATTAGCCTATTTCTATCTGTTCCTCTGATTTAAAAACAATCCCTAAAAACAGTAACAAAACTCCTTCAGAATAATGTTTTAAATATATGTCTAACATTAAAACATACCATC